ACAAACTCCTCTCTTGCTGTCTTCACTAGGCCATCCCTCGGGGCTCCATTTATTAAGAGGGTAGATACACATCCTGAAGAGAACTCACCAGTTTCCAGAGCCAGTGGTATGCTGAGAACCAAGGCCACAGGACTCCTCCTCACTCCTCTTCTCTGCCTGGCTTCATCCTCTCACATCCTCTCTCAGGGTAGCTAGGAGATAGCGCTGACAACCCCTAGTCTCCATTCTCACCAATCTCCAAGCGAGGGGGGAAAAAGTTCTATCTTTCCAGGTCAACTGGAAAATTCTGGACCAGGTTAGGTCGGAACTGGCATTGTGGTTCAATCGCTAGCACTGCAATTGGTCCACCTGGTCAAGTGTCTCACATGCGCCTCATGGTAGGGGTGAGGGTGGGGATTTAGGCCACTGACACTAATGATCCCACCTGGGCCACATGAAGTGGGAGAAACACCCTAAATGGAAAGGATGCCTACACCAAAGAGGCAGAGAGAAACAGAGTGAAGCTCCTGGGCCAAGCCCACCAGCCTCTTACTGGCTCTCTACTGGGTCAACTGACCTATTGGTGCAGTGTGTGTGTGTGTGTGTGTGTGTGTGTAAATCCCCTTTTAGATCCTCCTCCATCTCTCCTCAGCTAGATCCCACATATCCTCCTACCTGAATTTCCATGGGATAAGCACAAAACTCAGGCTATCTTATTGGGCTTAGCCACTGAGTTCTATTTTCCTTCTCCTTCTGGACCTGTATTTCACATCTCCCCAGACACATTAAAGTATGTCTTAAACAAAAGAGTTCATTTTTCCTTAGGAAGAAATTTTTGTTTGTTTGTTAGTTTTGGGTCAGTTGTGGGCTTGAACTCAGGGCTTAAGTGCTGTCCCTGAACTCTTTCACTCAAGGGTAGCATTCTACCACTTTGAGCCACAACTCCACTTCTGATTTTCTTGAGGTTAATTGGAGTCTCACAGACTTTCCTGCCTGGCCTGGCTTGGAACAGAGATCCTCAGATCTCAGCCTCCTGAGTAGCTAGGATTACAGGTGTGAGCTACCAGCACCCAGCAGGAAGAGGTGTTTTGTTTTGTTTTGTTTTGCCAGTCCTGGGGCTTGAACTCAGGACCTGGCACTGTCCTGAGCTTCTTTTGCTCAAGGCTAGCACTCTACCACTTGAGCCACAGTGGCACTTCCAGCTTTTTCTGTTTATGTGGTACTGAGGAATGGAACCCACGGCTTCATGCATACTAGGCAAGTACTCTACCACTAAGCCACCTTCCCAGCCAAGGAAGAGTTTTTTGTTTTTCTTCTCCTAGGGCATGATTCAAAGTGAGTCTCTCCTCCTGACTCCAGATATATTGTGCATAGAAACTGTACCTCCCCACCCCAGCCTGGTGCATGGTAATACTAAGATGACCTCTGAGTTGGGGGATCCAGGGTAATTTTTATGGTTTTTGTGGTGGCATTTTATTATATTCTCTTTCTTGTGAATTTTTATCGCTATATTTGTTGATCTCATTTAACAAATGAAATGGGTTTAATACAGAAGAAAAACAGGAGACATCTGACTCTTGTGCTCCTTTTATACAAAACTGTTCCCTCAGGCCCTGTCCTGCAAACTTCCTCCTAAGACTCATTGGCTAGACAGTGTTGCATGACCACAACTGCCTTAAAGGAGGGCAGACATGGAGTTTTTCCTTTTTGCCAGTGTCCACACCTGGATGGAGAAAAGAGCAAGAGAAAAAGGCGGCTCCACTGTGGGTGCTGGTGGCTCACGCCTGTAATCCTAGCTACTCAGGAGGCTGCAATCTGAGGACTGTGGTTCAAAGCCAACCCAGAAGGAAACTACGAGACTCTTATCTCCAATTAACCACCAGAAAACCAGAAATGGGTTGTGGCTCAAGTGGACGAGCACTCAAATTGAAGAGCTCAGGCCCAGAGCCTAGGCCGAGAGTTCAAGCCCCATGACCAACCAAAGAAAAAACAAAAACAAAAACAAAAACGTGGCTCCAGGGATAATTCTTGGTCCAGCTGTCTACAGCGACAGTGTCTACAGCAGTGTCCAGAAGAGACTCTACACAAAATTCTGAGATTTGAGCATCAACATAAGTCTTGGCCTGTCTTCCTTACTACACTGTGGCAATGGCAATGGCTGCTTACGGACAATGTGCTTCTTTCTTTCTCTTTTTTGGGAGGTTGGGGAGAAGACAGTTGTGAGGGTTGAACTCAGCCTGGGTGCTGTCCCTGACTCTTCAGCTCAAGGCAAGCGCTCTAACACTTGAGCCACAGCGCCACTTCCGGTTCTCTGGTGCTTAATTGGAGATAAGAATCTCATAGACTTTCCTGGCTAGGCTGGCTTTGAACCTCGATCCTCAGATCTCAGCCTCCTGAGTAGGTAGGATTATAGGCGTGAGCCACAGGTGCCCAGCAAGTGTTTCTTTCTTAGTAGAGTATCCGTTTACAATTTAAGAGCAAATTTGAGGTTAGTACTGGTAACAAACTGGCATCTGAAAGGTCACAGAATCCTCCTCCCCTCCCAGCATGTGTTTTCCAAGGACTCTAGCACTGGGGCACAGGAAGTACTGTCCCGTCCCACAAAGCACACTTGGCTCTCTGGTTAACTTTTCTGGTCCTGAATCTTTGTTGAATCATGGTTCCGATGTGCTTCAAAGGCTTTGAACTAAGGTCTTAAGAGTTTATGGGGCTGGGAAGGTGGCTCAGTGGTAGAGCGCTTGCCTTGCATGCATGAGGCCCTGGGTTCGATTCCTCAGCACCACATAAGCAAAAAGAAAAAAGCTGGAAGTGGTGCTGTGGCTCAAGTAGTGGAGCACTAGCCTTGAGCTGAAGAGCTGAGGGACAACACCCAGGCCCACGACCGTACACCCCCCCCCCCAAAAAAAAGAAAAAAAGAGTTTAACAACATCATCTCTCATTACCACATGGTCAATCCATTCCTGCACCCTCTGCTTTGTCCAAGGCTCCCTTCCTTCCTGTAAGCCCACATCTATGCCCAAGTTCTGAAACATAAAATCCAATCTCTTATGTGCAGTTATTAATCATATATCCACCTTCCTGCCTCTCCCATTGGCTCCCTTCTTTATTTCTAGGAAGAAGTGAGGGTCTGGCCTGGGTGCTGGCAGATGCTCAGACCACAAATTAGGTTGGTGGAGAGCACGAGAAGGGAGGTAGCTCTCCAGACTCTGCTTCACTGTGTTTTTGTTTATAGAAAAAAAAATGTTTTAAGGTAAGAGAGAGGAAGCTTGAGAAGGATGTTTGTAAGATCTTGTAAACAGTTCCATTTATTGTGAGCTATGTTTGGGATCTCCATTTTGGTTTTGTTCTTTGTGCCAGTCCCAGGGCTTGAACTTAGAGCCTGGGTGCTGCAACCCCTCCCCCCCCCCCCCCCCCCCTGCCGCCCCAAGCTTTTCTGCTGAAGGCTAGTGCTCTACCACTTGAGCCACAGCTATATATCTGGCTTTAATTGGAGCTGAGGATCTCACAACCTTTCCTCCTGGGCTGGCTTTGAATGGTGGTCCTCAGATCTCAGCTTCCTGAGTAGCTAGGATTACAGGTGTGAGCCACCGGTGCCCAGCTGGGCTCTCCATTTTGAAGAACTGTAAAGGTGGAACTGGCAGCATTGCAGGTTAAAGAGGTCAGAAGTGTTCCCCAATGTCATTCCTGCTTGATGGGCAGTTACTGCTAAGTGACTTAGCCATTCTTTTCTTCTTTCCTATAGAACCCTAATTTTGTTCAAGACAGCATCATCCCCAATAACAAATGCTCACCTTCCCTGACTCCCTGAGGGATGGCCATTGGGTTCACTCTGGCCAATGTGATCTAGGTATAAGTTGCTAGGCAGGGGCTCCCCAGAAACCCTTTTGGGGGGACAAGGCTGGAAACTTTTCTAAGCACAAAGCCTTAGTCGGCTTCCCCCTCACACCTTGCCAGTGTATTTACTGTAGCTCCCCCCCGCCCCGCATTTCAAATGCAGTTTCAGTATCTCAGCACCCATCTTCTGTCCATGAACATAAGAGCAGTGTGCTAAAGATAACAAAGTGGAAAGGACAGACATGGTAGCACATACCTGCAATCCCATCACCCGGGAGGGGGAGGCAGGAAGATCATGATATGATAGTGTACACTTATACAATCTCAGTACGTGGGAGATGGAGATCTGGAGGACTGCAATGCAAGGCCAGCGTGGGCAAAAAAGTTAACGAGGCTCTCATCAGCCAGGTGTGATGCTTGTGCCTGTGGGCACAGCTAGGGACAAGGCGTTCGTAGGCAGATCGAGGTCCAAGGCTGCCCTGGGCAAAATTTTAGTGCAAGAACCTATTTGAAAAATAAATAACGAGGGCTGAGAATGTGGCTTCGTGGTAGAGTGCTTGCCTACCATGCATGAAGCCCTTGGTTGGATTCCTCAGTACCACATACACAGAAAACGGTGGAAATGGAGCTGTGGCTCAAGTGGTAGAGTGCTAGCCTTGAGCAAATGAAGCTTAAGGACAGTGCCCAGGTCCTAAATTCAAACCCCAGGGCTGGCAAAAAAATAAACTAAACCAAAACAAACAAATAAATACAGCAAAAAGGGCAGGAGGGATGCCTCAAGAGGTAGAGTACTTGGCTAGCAAGAATGTGACCCTGAATTGAAACCTCAATACTCTTCAAAAAAAGACATTCAATGTGTTATATAATGAATGGACACAAATTATCTGTGGGCACTTTTGGAACAATACCTCTTCCTTGCCTAAGCTTATTAACCCTCCCAGGACCTTGATGAAAACAGACTCCATTCTAGAGCCTAAGATATTGCATTGCTCCCAAGCCCACAGCAAGGCTGATGGCTGGCCCTGGACCACGCTTTGCCCAGTCAGGGCTTAGATCAGCACAGCTGTTTCCACTCAGCTTCTGTGACAAGCTTTTCTATTCCCCTTTGATGGCATCTTATTCAGCCACAGAGCTGCAGGAGTTTCAGTACATTTCTACCAAAGAGCGCAGGTTTGCTTAGAATAGCATTTTAGAGAAAAAAGCAGTTTGTTTTATTTAGCAAAATAAATTTAACAAAGGCATTTAAATAATCCTGTCATTTTCTAAGTGACTTGCTTTTCAGCCCATTGGAGTTTCTATCTTCTAGCCTAACAGGGTTATTTCCAAATGACTGCAACTCTCCAGCCAAGATGCTGTTTTATGCAACGTGAATCATTCAAGTGCATTTCAGGGTCCGCACCAGAGCATCTCTGTTAAATAAAGTGTGGTGAATACAACTCAGGGAAGCAGATTTATGAGGAAACTTCTTGAACTCTCCATCTTTTGATCTTATCAGCAGAGGCTCTGCTTGCTCTGAAATGCAGACTCAAACTCGAACTTACGTAGTTGGTTCATCTGTCACAGACATAAAAGGGGAAGTAAAGGTAAAGGCTTAACCTTTCCTGGCTAAGCCATTGCATTACACGGAAGCTGTGTGTGAGTTTCCTGTTGAAATGTCCTTTTCTAGTTACATACATTGAAAAAAACTACAACATTGTGTTAAATAGTAGACTACCCTACGACACGGCCCTGAAAAATCAAAATGGGCTGATTAAGCTGAGGTGAGAAACAGCAGATGGTCAGCAGATGGTCTTCCTGGAGTGAGGCTGCCAATGTCCACCATCTCCCTAGTCGGTGACAGATCCACACTCCGAGGGCAGGCCTTCAGACCGCCGCCACTGGGCCAGACGCTCCTTAAACCATTTCTGGAAGAGAGAAACACACAAAATGTGCCATCACATACTGAGACGCAAAAATGCCTGCTCCATTTCTAAAAGATAGCCTTTGTGTCTCAGCTGAAAAGGAGGAAAGTAAGGATGTGGCCATGGGAATGATCCTCATGGTGACACTGACCCTTTCTGCCTCAGGACCCTCACACATGCTATTTTCTATGCCTACAATGGTCAATGAACTCTCTTTCCTCCTCAGATCTCAACTTTAACAAATCCTTCTCTTTTTTTTTTTTTTTTGTCGGTCGTGGGGCTTGAACTCTGGGCCTGGGCGCTGTCCCTCGGCTCTTCAGCTCAAGGCGAGCGCTCTACCACTTGAGCTACAGCGCCACTTCCAGTTTTCTGGTGGTTTATTGGAGATAGGAGTCTCACGGTCTTTCCTGCCCGGGCTGGCTTTGAACTGTGATCCTCAGATCTCAGTCTCCTGAGTAGCTAGGATTACAGGCATGAGCCACCAGCGCCCAGCTAACAAATCCTTCTTAGTGAAGGCTTTCCTGGTCAATGTATCAAAAATGGGCTCTTTTTGTTCTCTATTGTAGTATTTTGTTACCCTCACAGATGTTTCAGTATCTGTGATCATGTTACTTTCTTGTGTATTTATGTCTTTTGAATCAACACACCATCATAGAATATAAGATCCATGACAGCAGATCATGTGCTCACCTTCTCACATTGTATGTTAGCTCCTAAAATAAAGTCTCAAGAGTTTAGCAATCAGGCCAGATTGGGGGGGGGGGGGGGGGGAGACACTTGGCTAAAATCCCAGTACTCTGGAGCCTGAAGCAGGAGAATTCTAAGTTCAAGGTCAGTCTCATAGTGAGACCTTGTCTCAAAAGTAAAGAAGAAAGGTGGGCACTGGTCACTTACACCTGTAATCCTAGCTATACAGGAGGCTAAGGATTAGTTTGAAGCCAGCCCAGGCAGGAATATCCAGGAGCCTCTTATCTCCAATTAGCCGCCAAAAAACCACAAGTGGAGCTGTGGTTCAAGTGGTAGAGGGCCAGACTTGAGAAAAGAAAAAGCTCAAGGACCTGAGTTCAAGCCTCAATACTGACATTGGAAAAAAAAAAAAAAAGAAGTGGCCAGGTGCTGGTGGCTCACGCCTGTAATCCTAGCTACTCAGAAGGCTGAGATCTGAGGATGGAGCTTCAAAGCCAGCCCAAGCAGGCAAGTCTGTGAGACACTTATCTCCAATTAACCACCAGACAACCGGAAGTGGTACTAGCCTTGAGCTGAAGAGCTCAGGGACAGCGCCCAGGCCCAGATTTCAACCCCCACAACCGATGGGGGAAAAAAGTGGGCATGATTGTGTCTGTCCTCCATGTTTGTACCTAGGGAAGCAGGCTTCTGCTTAGATAACGGGTTTCCTTAATGAGGAAGCGCTGTGGGGGTGTCAGGGTTGCCAGCACTTGTTTAAATAGGATTTCCACTGATTAGAGCTGAATAAATGGCTATATTTTAAAGACTAATTAAAATCTAAAGGAGGAAAATTTTTTTTCACTTTCTATCAGGACTCATTTAGGACAAAATGGTCAAGCTGGTCTCATTCAAAAGAGCCACCCACATCTTCACAGACAGAATATTGATGGACTGTTCTGGAAAAGAGCTCTGACTGGGACCACATTTGTGGCTCTGCAAGTTGGCAGCAAAATGCTTAACAAATTGAGCCTTGGCATTGGGGGATGGGAGGAGGTACAAGGAAAGATCAACTGTGTTTTAGCTTTCAGTGAAGAATATCATGGACTTATGAAGTATGTTCAAGATATACTTACAAAGTTTCAGTGAAGTATATACATGGGAAGGTAGAAGACCACTTGCTGTCTGACAGATATAAAAAACAAAACCCAAAAAACCCAGCAACATTAAATCCCTCACTAACTTCTATTCCCCACAGCCGAATCTCAGAGCATCTTACATCAATACCAATTTTCCACCTGGCTCCATCCTTCTGTCTTTTGTGGGAGCCTTTGTTTCTCCTGGGAAAGACATTCATCCTGGCTTGCTTGTAAATGAATGCCCTCATTACCCTTGCCCAATGGTGGAGATTTATTTACTCTGAGGGACAGATGAAAATGAGCCCCTGGGATAGGGGAGGGGCTGGGGCAAAGTAACATTGTTTCAGTCCTTTTCTCTAGTGACTAACATGTCATTCTTTTCAGGGAGAGACCTTTAGAGGTCTTTATCCCACTGATAAAGTGTCCAACAAACTAAAACTACTGGGTTCTGGGAACCTGCTCAGCATATCAAGAGGAGATTAAAAAAATAATACTAGAAACTTCTCCAACGACACTGCACTTGAATGTGTGTGTCTATACAATTCTAGATCATTCCCTCCCTCCAGGGAACTAATGAAAGCACTTTCCCAGCCCTTTTTTTGGTGCCAGTATTGGGGCTTGAACTCAGGGCCCTGTGCTCTTGCTTGGCTTTTTTGCTCAAGACTGGTGCTCTAGTACTTGAGTCACAGTTCCACTTCTGGATTTTGCTGGTTAATTGGAGAGAAGAGTCTCACAGACTTTCCTGCCTGGGCTGGCTTCTAACTGCAATCCTTAGATCTTAGCCTTCTGAGTAGTTAGGATTACAGGTGTGAGTCACCAGCCCCTTCTAACATTGACTTCCTAACAATAAAAGACACTGGATTCAGGATGTGTCAGCTTCCATCTACCTTAAGTATAGGAGCTGTTTAGATTAGTGTCATGAGAAAACCCTACTCCAGGGCCCCTGTAAATGTAGTCCATTAGCTCTCCCTTTACTCACTGTTTCTGTAGGTGTACTGCTATAGTTGAGAATACAGAGGGCAGTGACAGAGAGTCTGCAGATCCTTTAGCAGCTCAAATCGTGATGCTTGGGTGTTCATGTTGTTGCGTGAGATGTATACTGCCCACCTGATGGGGGCTGGGGATTAAAAAGAAAGAAGGCCACAGAGCTCCAGAGTCCTGTTTCCTACCCATTCGTCACTCTCGCCCCTTGCCAAAGCATCAGCTGTGTGAGTCTGTGGTACCAACTATCTCACAAGAGCAGTGCATGCTTCTTTTACTAGAGTATGACATGCTCTAAGAAAATTAACAGTATGATGCAGAGTATAGCAGTGCACAACTGTACTCCCAGCACTTAGGAGGCTGAGGCAGGAAGAGAGTTCCAGGCCAGCCTGGGCTGCATAGCAGTGATTCTCACCCACCAGGGTAGGTGAAAGTGGCAGATGGGGGTTAGGGAGATGGGAAGATGAGACTCAGAACAAGCCACAGGAGACAGGCAGCCTGAAGTGGTGAGGAAGACTCTTTCCTGAGACTTGCTAAACTTTGCCTGCCTAGGAACTCTGGGTTCCAAATGCTTCCCTGCAGGTCTAGGCAGGAAGACATAAGGGCAAGCTGACTGCAGCTGTAGGGAGGAAGAAGGTGTTGGCCCCATGGCAGGAAGAGGAAGCCCCCTGGCCTCAGGCTGACTCACCCACACTCACTCAAGGGCAGCTGGGTCTGCCACGTGTTTATTTGAAGATGTCAGAAGAGGGAATTTCTTTAAATTCTCTCAGATTAGGTGAAGCTCAAGGTGAGGCTGATCCCTAGTCTGAAGTGGTTGTCTGAAGTGCATGTCTTTTGTTTTTGTTTTTTGTTTTCAAATTGAGTTTTCTGTGCTTCCCTCCCCATGCCATACAATGGCTGCCCACCCTCTTCTGCAGGGACAGCTTAGCCTGGTGGTAAAGAGTCTGAAGTTGTGGAACCAGACTGCTCCCTCATAGTGGTCTTGGATGACTTCCTTAACCTACCTGTGCCTAAGTTTCTATACCTCTACACTTATGCTAACAGTACCTTCCCTCACAAATAAATGACTTGATACTTAGAGAGCGCCTGGCCAATATATGGCAAGAGAAGGTCATTCCACAAGGTCAATGTGGAGCTGGGGGTGCAGCTCAGTGGTAGGGTGTGTGCTCAGCATGCTCAAGGCCCTTGGTTAGATCCCTAGTGATTCTCTCTCTCTCTCTCTCTCTCTCTCTCTCTCTCTGAATGAATGACAAGAATCAGGTAAAGGGATTGATGATAATTTAATTTACCATGGGACAATCAGAGGCTGAGAAAGGGTTAGACTCCACATTTATACCACGCCCATAGTATCCCACAGTCTTTGTTTTTACAGATGAACACTTTGGGCCAGGCAACATAGTAGTTGTCTGTAATACCAGTAACTTTGGAGAGGAGGAGGATGGGGGTGGGGAGGAGATGCTGACAAGATCCCATCTTAACCCAGCCAGGTGCACCTGCTATCTCAGTTATTCAGGAGGACCATGGTCCAGGCCAGCATGGGCATAAATGAAAGACCCTCTCCAATGAATGAATGGATAAATAAATGCAAAAATGACTGGGGGTGTGGCTCAAGTGGTAGAACACCCACTTAGCAATCCAGGCCTTGAGTTCAAATCCTAACATTCACACACACATACACACACACGGAGGAGAGAGAGAAGTCTCTGTGATCCTTCTACTTTTCTAAATATAGCATGGGATTTTAAATAAAACTTCAGCAGCCTGGGGGGTGGGGAGTGAGGGGTGAGGGGTGGTGTTCCAAGAAACTTGAGCCATTAAGAATTAGGTTACAGTAAATCACCCTCCATTAGATTCAACTTCTGGTTAATCAGACAGCTGTTCTCTTTGCCAGAAACAGATATGTTTGCCTTTCTATTTGATCTGTGAATGAGAAGACCTTACATATGGGCAATGCCCTTGGCTCAATTGGGAAAACCCTGCTGGACCTGAGGCACAGGGCTTTGGTCTCCATACTTAGCAGGGCACTGCTACCACCAGCTTTTCAGTCCTGACCCTGACTCCAGCAGGATGGGGAGAGGATGCTGAGAAGCCCTGTGAAGGTTTGGAGCTCCCTAGCAAGACACTAGGTCAGTGTCACTAGGTCTATGACTAAAGAGAAAATACAAGTCAGAGTTGAGATGGGGTTTACAAATTTCAAAAATCAACTGAAGGCTCCGAGGCTGCGAGTGAGAAGGCTCGGTGCAGCCTCCTCTACCTCAGTTTCCCTGATGACACAGGCGCTTTTAAAAAGACAAGTCCACCCAAGAGGACATCCCCTCTCTTCTGGTTCAAGGTCAGATATCTACATTTATTTTTTTGGAACATGCCAGAGAAAGTCTCTAAACCTTAAGAGCCAGGAAATGTTTATTTATTTATTTAAGATCTGAACCTGGCTCAGCACAGCGCGATGCCCAACGACCCAGCTCACCCTGGCAACTAGCTAGCTAGCTCCCTTCTTCGGGGCCTCAGTTTCCTCGTTTGCCAACCCTGAGGAGTGAACAGTACAGCTGATCGCTAAGTCCCCCGGCCCTGCCGTCCCGCGCCCCCCGACTGTGACATTGCCGGTGTCCACGGACTGGCCTCGGCCAGGTCAGCGCAGCCGGCGGGGTGGGGATGGCGCGGGGCGCGCGCGCGGGTCTCGGGCTGGGAGCGGGGGAGAAGGGGACGCGGCCGAGGGGCGTCTGCGTGGTGAGCCCCGCGGGGCGGGTGATGGATGGATCGCTGGGATCTGTAGATGGATGGGGGGGGGGTGATGGATGGATCGCTGGGATCTGTAGATGGATGGGGGGGGATGGAGGGGGAGGATGGGGGGGAGGATGGGGGGGATGGAGGGGGGAATGGCGGTGCGCGGCGGCGCGCCGGACTCACCTGGGTCTCCTCCTCCGAAAGGCCGGCCTCGGCCGCGATGAGGCACAGCGTGGTGGGGTCCGGGTGCTTGTTGACCTTGTTGAAGTTGTACTCCAGGATCTCCACCTGGTCCTCCGTGGGGCCGCTCCGGCTCTCTGCAGACATGGTCCCGGCGCGGCTGGCTGCGGCCGGGAGGAAGAAGCGGGGGAACGGTGAGCCGAGCCCGGGGAGCGGGGAGCCGGGTCCTCCCGCCGCGTCCTCCCGCCGCCCGCGGAGCCGGGCTGCGGTGCGCGCTCCCTCCCTCCCTCCCGCCTCGGCCGCGCCGCCGTCCCACCGCGGAGCCCGGCTGCGTGGCGCGTCCTCGGTCCCCCCCGGACTCTCCCACCCCGGTCCCCGCACCCGTGGTTCCGAGGCGATGCGTCGAGCTTAGGGCGGACAGTGACTCTGCCGCTCTCCCCACAGGCGTGGAGGAGGCTGTGCCTCCGGGGGAGGAAGGGAGGGGAGGGGAGGGGAGGGGAGCGGTCCCCTGGGGACAGGCGACAACCACACGACTGGGTTCGCGGACACGCACCGGCTCTGCGGTGGGGAGCCCGCGGCCGGGGGTTGGGGGGGCGGTGGTTACTGGTCAGGGACAGGCACCCCACGCCTCCCCAAAAGATCCTACCCACCCTGCAGAAGTCGTCTCTCCAAGTTCCCATTTTACAGAGATGGAGAGATGGATCCGCAGGGGAAGCGTGATTAAGAAGGCCAAACCACAGGGGGAAAGGTCACCTGCCACTCCATCCCAACTTTCTATGGAAAAGCTGTGAGTCACCTGCTGTCACCTGACCAGTATTCCACAGTAAACAGTGGAGTCCACTTCGCTGTGTTCCACCAGGTGTAGGAGCTGGTGCTAGGAAAGAGGGTCACCCACCCAATCGGGTAGTAGCAAATCCTACACCAGCAGCAACCTTGAACTTCCGGGGGGGGGGGGGAGCAAATTTGGTCTAAAATCAGGAAAACAAATCCACCACAAGCTTCTAATCTCTTATTTGTCCTCAGCTTGGAGCCAGACATTGCCAGCAGGTTCTAGGCAAAGTGCCTACCAGCTGTGTTCTCCCATACCTACACAGCCCCACAAGGAGTCAGAGTCACCTAGCGACGGTGCACCCTCTTCCTTTCTCCACATTAGAGAGACAGAGGGCTCTCTGGAAAATTAGGCCTAAAATATTCTTGGCTGTGGATTTGGTACAGACCTGTCAGGACTTGGTGACTGTTGCGGACTAGTAAAAGACAAGTCGAAGTGTGGGACTCACACTGGTTTGTTGTTTAAACAAACAGTTGCAAAATCCTTGCAGCCCAGTCCTGAGCAGGGTTTGATGTGGTTTGTGCCTGCAGATCAGCCACACTCCTCTGAGCTGCCAGGCCAACGCGCTCTGGGCTACTATGACCTTTCCCTACTGCTACCTGCACCTCGGCTCCCAGTGCGTGCAGGAAGGATGCTTCAGCTGCTAGATCCCTTGTAGGGACCTCAGTTAGGACAAAAGCTGTGTGTAAAACAGGCTCAAATTCTTGACACCCAGGTATCATGTGCTGTTAGGAAATTCTGTGCTCTCCCACTGAAAAATCCACAGCAGCAATTCCTGCTCAGCCAAGGGGCAGTCAAGCCAGGGCAGACATACAGTCTCTCCTCTTAGCATCCATCCATCCACACGTCTGGAGAGCTTTGGAAATCTCTTTTGATTCACTGACAGGCCCGCCACTGCCCAATGGAAAGCTTTGCCCTCAGTTTCAGGCCTGTGATTGGCTAGCCTGTTCTTAGTTGGGTAGGAAAAAAACAAAAACTGGAGGTTAACTATAACTATGTAACTGCAGCCTGGAGTTGTAGCCAGTTGAAATGAGTATGAACTGTTCTAGAAGGACACCTGTCCTGGTGAACCACCCACGGAAACCATCTACCTCTGCTCAATTTGCCTGAAAAAAAAAAATTAGGAGGAAAGGCTACTGCTTTTTATTTCATTTAACCTCCTAGAAAGTTTCTGGTAGATTCCATTTCCTATGGTGATACCGACTCTTCCCAGAGGCTCTTTGCTGCTGCTTCCTAGAATCTCGATGCTTTTTGAGACATTCTATTTCAAAATGGGATTTAGATGGAAGAATTCTGTGCAGCATTGCTCCCTAGATTTGGTTACAAACCTCTATAGCTCAAGGGCTGCCAATGTTCTTATGTGGAATCCAGTATATTTTATTTGACCAGCTTCCTGTGCCTTCCTGTCACAAGACTTTGTGTGAGGTTTTATGGCGAGGTCCTGGTTGACTTTAAAGGACTGGTTGGGTTATTTGGCAGAGGATCATTGACTTTGGTCAACGTAGGAGGGCTCTTTGACAACACCTACATCTCTAAGGAAAACCAAACAAACCTTCAGGGAAGGTGAAAGATCTCCACCATCTGATGTGTTTGTTAATCACTCTACAAAGCACAATTTCAAATTTCGGTTCCCTTTGGTTGACACATTTGCTGTTGCGTTCTCCTCAACCGCTCTCCCCCCCCCCCCCCCCCCCACACACTGTATAAATCAAACCGCCCTGGTAACCTTGGCCTTGTAAAACCTCCACTGTTTCTAGTAAGGAAAGTAAAGAAACAGTTGGAAAGTTTCTCTGAAGGTAGTCTAAACAATTCTAGATAAAAAGACCTAAAAATACTTTAAAGCGATTACACGTTAATCTTCACACAAGTTTTATTGTGGTTATGATATCTTACGAAACATTCAAAGGGCAAAGTGTCCTGTCACTGTGTTTTTCTTTTGTGCCTGGGGGAAGTCATTGCAAAAGTGTGTGTAAGAGGGTCCGCGGATACAGCTCCCCTTTTCTTAAAAAATAAAACAAAAAACAAAACAAAAAGAACTCCAAAGCCTGGGTTGTGTCTGTTGTGAATCCAACAGCTTTACTTCTATTTATTTACGTTTCATCTATTTTGAAATCATCTACTTAGATAAACAAACTCACAGAAAGTACTATAAACTGGCAAGCTTTGATTAGCATTTGTGGTTTTTTTTTTTTGTTCTTTCACAGCATTCTTTTTCTTCCCTTCCTTCCCTCTCTTCCTCCCTCCCTCCCTCCTTCTTTTCCTTTCTCTCTCTCTCTCTCTCTCTCTCTCTCTCTCTCTTTCTTTCTTTCTTTCTCTTTTGTGCTGGTTCTGAGTCTTGAACTCAGGACATGAGTGCTGTCCCTGAACTTTTTTACTCAAAGCTCTACCGTAGACACAGCTCCATTTCCCTGACCTCTTCTTAATGCCATTAATAGCAAGAAGAAAAGACAGTACCCATCAACATAGGTAGGCCTGCAGTGAGCTAGTCAGCGAGGGAAAAGAAGCAGGTGGATCATACTTTAGGATCTTCTCCTAATGTTCTGTAGCTTACATCTCTTGTGATCACTGTGACCTTCCAGCTAACAATGGACTCTTGAAATATTTTGTACTTTCCTAAGTGAGAAAAATCAAGGTGTGGCCGTTTCCCCAAGAGAAGAGATGGGTCCTGGAGGGGTGGGATCTTCCCACTCCGCACTTACTGAATGAATGACTCTACAGATGGAGAGAAGGCATCGCTGGCACTGACTGTGTCTATCAGAAACATGGGAAGGAGGATGGGAGGGCAGCTAAGCTGGAGAGTGCTGGCCTGGCAGGTGCAAGGCCTTGAGCTTCACCCTCTGTGCTGAAATAAAAGTAAAAATGGACAGAAGGGGTGGGGCATTGATCTGCCTTCCAATATCATGAAGGCTGGTGTGATGCTGGAGGAGTGGTTCTCTTAAACGTGCTCCTGGTATTCGTGTCCTTTTGCTGATCACAGTGGTTGTCAGGCCTAGACACCAACAGCATCACCTATGAACATGCCCAAGCCCACCACAGACAACTAAGCAGAGACAAAGTATTCCAATTTTTTTTCCTCTCTTTCTTTCTTCTTCATCCTTTTTTTTTTTTGGTCCTGGGGCTTGACTTCTGGGCGCTGTCCCTGTGCTCTTCAGCTCAAGGCAAGCACTCTACCACTTGAGCCACAGCGCCACTTCCAGTTTTCTGGTAGTTAATTGGAGATAAGAGTCTCACAGACTTTCCTGCTAGGGCTGGCTTTGAACTGTGATCCTCAGATCTTAGCCTTCTGAGTAGCTAGGATTGCAGGCGTGAGCCACCAGCACCCAGATTCCAACTTTTCTGAGGTCTTATTATTTAATCCTTAAAATCAACTACAAATGTTCTGAAATTCTGTTGAAGGGGTGGAGGGTGTCCCAGAGCTTGAACTCAGGGCCTGGGCAATGTTTTGCTCAAGGCTAGCACTTTACCACTGGAGCCACAGCTCCACTTCCAGCTTTTTGATAGTTTATTGGAGATAAGAATCTTAAAAGATGCCGGGCATCCGTGGCTCCCGCCTGTAATCCTAGCTACTCAGGAGGCTGAGATCTGAGAATCGCAGTTCAAAGCCAGCCCGGGCAGGAAAGACCTTAAGACCTTGAGACTCCTATCTCCAATAAACCACTAGAAAACCGGAAGTGGCGCTGTAGCTCAAGTGGTAGAGCGCTCGCCTTGAGCTGAAGAGCTGAGGACAGCCCCCAGGCCCAGAGTTCAAGCCCCATGACCGACCAAAAAAAAAAAAAAAAAGAGTCTTAAAGACTTTCCTGCCTAGCCTGGCTTCAAACCATGATTCTCAGGTCGTAGTCTCCTGAGTAGCTAGAGCCTGGCCTTTTATTTTTTTTTTTGCTTTTAAAAATAATTCTATCACATAATACATATCTCTTTAAAAAAACAAAAACCAAAAAAACCGAGAAACCCCAAAACGCTGGGCACTGGTGGCTCATGCCTGTAATCCAAGTTACTCAGGAGGCTGGGATTTAAGGATAGTGGTTTGAAGCCAGCCCGGGCAGGAAAGCCCATGAGACTCTTATCTTCAATAAACTACTCAGAAAAAGCTGGAAGTGGTGCTGTGGATCAAGTGGTACAGAGTGCCAGCCTTGAGCTAAAGAAGCTCAGGGACAGTGCCTAGGCCCAGAGTTCAAGTCTCAGGAGTAGCAAAAAACAAAACAAAACAAAGAAAAAAATCCACCACGAAGGTATTTGGACAGTTTTGCTTGTTATTACCATGCATAAAAATGGTATAGTATTTGCTCCTTTCACTTAGCATTTTTTCTAAGATCTATCCATATTTCTGCATGTAGAAAA